TGGAGAACTTGTCACTGGGGCTGGGGTGCCATCTTACGGGTGAAGGTGCATCTGACCTGAGGCCTACAGCACTCCAGGGCTGAATGTGCATCACAGCCAGACCTCAGAAAAGCTACATTGTGAGCAGGAGGCCAGATGAGGTTGAGTTAAACAGAGATGTCTACCCAACTTTAATAGGTCAAGAAAAAGCAGACAGCATGCTTGCCGGTGGCCAACTTAACTCTAAGTGTCAGCAGGGCTAGGAGCACCCAGATGGTTAAGGAGCCCTGTCCCACAGGTCAGAGGACATAGACGAGTCATGTCTGGAGACACAGACTCTTTCTTCTATTCCTGAGTTTATTGAAACCACACTTCTTTCTACTATGCACACACACATATATATATATTTTTGGAAAGAAACAGTAGGAAAGGAAGGCCAAACGGAGAGGTTAACTTATACAAAAGAGATTGAACAGTACCTGAATTGCCTTTAATTTGGGGGTTTCTTTTTAACCACAAATGCATAAGCACAATGCAGAGGGAGGGGCAGGGGATATGGTTTGTGAATTTCTAATAATTTATGAGATTTGTGAACTTCATAAATTCCTTTGCTTTCCAGTAACTGTTGACCCACGAGATGGCAATGTAGTTTCTCCACCTTCATCTCACTTCCAGAAGACAGGAGATACTTTGGAGCAGTCAATGCTAGGAATTTCCTAAGACCAGGAATGAGACCAGACTAGAGAGAGATGAATAGGATGCTACATGAGACAGATGGGGAACACTTACTCCCTCACTCTTATTCTTACGTGAGATAGAAGCAAGCCGCCGAAAATTAGCTTTTGTGTCTTCAAATGCACCTTCTTCTTGCTCAGCCAAAGACAAATGTCTTCCCAGAGATGGAGGAGACCCCGCTGGGGATATGGGTGTTATCTTAAAGCAGAAAATGAAAGAGTGGGAGAATTCTGCAGCTCAGCCATTTTCTTTAGTTTTTTTTCCCCTAGAAAATAGGATCGAAGGACTGTGAGAAGGTGAAAGCTATGGTACAGAATAGAAAAGACTGTTGATCGCAGATTCATTTATAATCATATGCAATAGCAATTATGTCAACAAATCTTCCTGTCATTGTAATCTTATCTTACTTTTTCTTGGAATATTATTATAAGAAATTGTTCTTCCTCATCCTGTTAAAATATATGTATTTTATCCGGGCATCATACTAAGTATATCTCCTTTCTCCTTCTTCCACTATCAAATAGTTAACGATGTAACAAAATAGCATTGTATATACTGGAAACCATCTAACCATATAAACACACACTCCAAATATATCATGTTTGTGAGTCTATATTTTTATGCAATGGATATTTTAAATGAATACAATTTTAAATTATATTGTGAGAAAGGGATTAACATTTTTTTAAAATGTATTCATAATTACTCTACCCTGGCACAACTATTTTCTTCTTTATGATCATCTGGCTAGTATTTATTCACATATAAGTTTTGTACCTACTTATAATCAGCATGTACAATTTTATACACGGCTTTCTTTATCATTCTTTGTATTGCAACTTATTTACTACCTAACTAGCTACTATGCTGATAGTATACCAGCATTTTCTTAGCTATCCCCTGTTGCATACACAAATAATTTCTATTATTCACTATTTGTGATTAAAGCTACAATGAACATTTTCCTAAAAATACCATTTTCTAATTTGGAACTATTTCCTTGGGATAAGTTGTGAATGGGATTACTACGTCCAAAGAGATAACTGTATTAAAGGACTTTTAATCTAGGTATTGGTCAGATTGGTGATTCAATGGGCTGTACATATCTACAGTACCACCAAAAATATTGTATCAATTGTTTTTCCAGTAGTCTCATCTGAATTTATATTTTTATTATTTATAATTGTAGTTAATGCAATCTATGCCATTTTGGGGGTTTAATTTGGATTTATTTGATCGCCATTGAGATTTTTAAAATTTACATATTGCTTACTGTTTGAGAATTAGTGTGGCTTAATTAGGGACATCACTTAAGTGTCAGACAAGCGTGGGTTCAAATCCCAACTCAGGTCACTTCTTGTTGTGTATTAAATGAATTAGCCTCTGGGGGAAAAAAAAACAATTTCCTCATTTGTAAACTAGTGACAATGATATCTGCTCCACAATGTTGTTGAAATGATTAGGCAAGTTAATCAACGCCTTGGGTGTCAGTGGCACACAGAAATTGTCACTTCTTTTCCTCTCTGCCTCTGCGCCTCTCATCTCATTTACCAACCCTCCTCCCACCCCTGACTTCTTCTTGCACAGATTGTTCATTCAAGTTCTTTTGGTACAAAGTTTCGTACAACCTGCTTTCTCATTCCGGGGTTTACATCCATAGGAGCTAGCTGTCAGAGTTCTCTAGAGAACCAATCTCTATCTTGCCCTAAGTGCTGAATTATATTGCAGATGGCTGAGGTCGGATCTGCTGGACCTCATTAATTACCTAAGTGTTTGCACAAACAAATGGGAAATATACTCAAAATAAATATCTCCATAAATTGCTCATTTTAGAATTCTGTGTGTAGTCCAATTTCCCCTTTAAATGTCTTATCCAAGTTTTCTTCCATTAGGTTTGTCAGAGATATTTTGATTTGTTTATTTGCTTCTCTGTTTTGGTTTCAGGTAACAGTTTAGCTTAATCTTCTGTCGCATCCTACCCAAGAACAAGCTTACTTCTGTGGTGACAAGTGTAGTTTGTCAAGCAATTGTAAGACAACTGCTAGAAGCTGCACATCTGGGTGATACTGTCATTTGAATTTTGTCTGTCTTTCATCTGGTGTCTGTTTTCTAGGCATTATTGCTCCTCTGTTCCCTGGAATTGGTTTCTATCTTGAGAGCCTTTGTAGCAAGAGCTGCCTTTTTAAGCAATCACTTTTCTTTAAAGCCAAAATAATTCCTAGTGTGTTATAAGCTATCGGAAAGCCTGTAACAAGCATAAACTTTCTCAACTGAAAAAGCATTGAAAACATAAATTTATATCCTCCTTCATGAGGGCAAGGCGGTTTGGGGGCTATGGAAAGATTTTCCAGTCTCTCGCCTTCCTGATGAGAAATTAACATAGTCTAAGCAGTTTCACTTCAGGAGTTTAAAAGAGAAAAAGAGGGCGGAGGGAGAAGAGAAAAGGAAAGAATCCTCTGCAGTCTTTCCAGCCTCAGCAACTATGCTTCTCATCTTCTGGAGAATGCCACAGCCTCCTTTAGATTTTTTATTTCTTACATAAGCCTTCTCTTTATGTGTCATAGACAAGGTTTCTTCATTTTGCTAAACCTGCTTTTCCCCCATCTCCGTGCCCACTCTCCCCATTTTTACATGTTACAGTTGAGTGCTGGCCTGCTTTTCTATCTGAATAAACACAGCAATTCTAACTTCTTACCTACAGCAAAGCCCTTCATCCACACAGTACCCCAGCAAAGTTATTAAAGTACTGATGATTTCATAGGTGAAAACCACCAGGCCTGAGAGAGGCTCTTATGTAACAGTTAAGTCTACAGAGGGAATTTGAGGCTCACAACTGGATTTAAACAGAATGAACACTTTTTCCCTTGTTGCTGGACAGTGCACAGTAGCCAGCCACGTCTGCAATGTGGCTGTACAGAAACGTCTATTATGGGAAGTACCAAAACTCACAAGGTGAAACAATGTGGACTTAAGCAACCGTGTGTTTCTACCCCGTGCTTGCATTCCTGAAGTTGGAAACAGGAAGGTGATAGCGGCAACAGTCCAGCTGTGCCCAGAGCCCACTATGCAGCACACAGCAAGAAAGCACTTCTCGTGAAGTAGGATGGTGACTGTAATGGCCACAACACATTCATCAATGTGCCACATGCATTTCTTCCTGAATCCCACCATCGCACCTTCGTCTGCAGCAGAGGGAAGACTGGCCCCCCACTTTAACCTCTAGTCTACATGAATCACTTTATGGTTTTGGGCAAGACCCTCAACCGCAGTTTCCCCAGACACACGGTAGCGCTAAGGTTACCCTGTCCCACCTTGCAGAGAGATGGTAAAGCCAGAATGAGATAATGTGTGTACATGATTTTGGAAACAGTTTCAAATTCTTTACAGTTATTGGGGTAAGAGCTTTTGCTTGTACTGTTAGGCTGATTTACAGTCATTTAAATCTGTAAAAGGATGTTTTGCCATTTTGGCTGTGTATGCTCTATTTCCTCAAACTATTGTAGGCCCGTTAAGATGGCTTTCAGAACATATCAATCTCCCTCACAGCTTCCTGCATTTGAACATGCTGCTTGACTATCCCTCCCCTCTCTCCCCACCCTCATCTCCTTTTTCTGCCTTTCACTCTCCTACTCAGCATTCAAGACTCATCTTAACGACCTTCTGCTTGGTGACACCACCTCTGTACCCTCTCTGCATTGTGGATGGGCAGTTACTTACTTCTCAGCTTCCTGCACTGGGATGTTCTGCATCCAGTGTGGCCTTTCCCAGTTGACTGGCCTTGGGTTTTTTGAGGGGACTACCAAGTCCTATTCATTTTTTTCAACCCAATACTTGGTTCACGTTATTTTCTCATTAATTAGTGATCAAAATTATGAGTGAATGTCAAATACTTGTTGCCATGAAACAAGAAATGTGTTAGTAAGATGAGTGATTCTTTGCTTACTTGCTATAAAACTTGCGAGGGAAACTCATCACTTAGCTTTCTATATGTAATATAAATATATATGGACTGAAGATGCGACGTGTGTGGAGAGGTAGGTTACACAGACTACTTGTTTCCCCAGTAAATGCTGTGGATACCTCATTCAGCAGGATGCTAATAGGTGTTATAGAATAAAAAGATTTCTTGATAAACAACATTTGGAGAATGCTGTGATAAATCTCCATTTATGAAATCTATCAGTTAATTAAAATGCCCTCTCACAATTTAGTGATCCCAGTATCCTACTTCATCTTTTATCTTGTTTTAGATATATTTATCTCTTCTTTATTTGTTTGATTTTTAGCTTTCATGGTAACATGGCACCTGGTTTCTCCCTACAAGAGAAGTTCAGCACACAGCACAGTCCTTGATACGTTGGGTTGGTTTGATAATCCTACCTGGAATAGGTAGGTAAAATTTCCCTTGTCTGCTTACCCATTCTTTTGAATCATATGTATGGATGTGTATCCGTTCCTGTTGTTCTTGTTCTTTACTGAAGATGGAATTTATTCTGAGGAGTAAAATTCACATGTCAGAAATGACCTTTGTCTTTTCTACCTAGAAGTATGTATTTATAGTATGACATATGAGACTCAAAGACCTCTTCATTTTCTTTGTTACGTGATAAATATAAATTAAAAATACATTCATTCCAGGAGAGAGGGGAAATTCTATGGTTCTTAAAATAAGAACTGTCTACAACTTTGTGGAAATCAAGTGTATGAAATATGATTAATCCCCTTGTATGTTTCTAAGTATAATATCTGTAGTTCAAAATTCTAACACAAAGATATAAACTCCCTTTTTTCCCCCTAAAATTAGTCTAGGCTTAGACAAAATTGAGTGCTAAATTATGAGCTAACAGACCCTACATGTGAATTAATTAATGATCCCTTGCTCTCTAAGGTTTTGTGACATTTACTCCATCGGTGTATCATGACATAAATGTGACATAAACAGAAAATAACAGTATTTAACAGTTTTGCTGATTAATGAATTCTCTAGAAGGGGATATGCTGAAATTAGATTTTTATAAGATATAAGCTTTGTAGCTCTTGATTAGATCCAGTTCAGACTACTTGGATGAGTAGTGTGTATGTGTGTGTGTGTGTGTGTGTCTGTGTCTGTGTGTGTGTGTGGTATGTTATCACTAAGGAATACTTTATTACAAGATTCGTTACTTTCTTGTATTCAGCTTTTAAAATATTATTAGGAATATAATAGGCTTGTTGAAATGCTACTTACATATTTAGAAAAATGTCCCATCTATATAAACTATTTTCAAAAGTAAGACTCTATAACAACTCCTCTACCCCACCTCCCACAAAAAAAAAAAAAGTCTGCTGAAAAGCACATTTGAGAAGTAGCACAGACTTGGGACTTAATCAGACATGAGACCTAGCATTACTACTTAACCTGTGACCTTGGGAAAAATTTTTATGCTTCCTTAGGGAAAGTGTTATTACTTAATTTAGAAGGAAAGGGGGGATGGAGGGAAGGAGGGAGAGTGGGAGGAAAGGAGGGAGAAAAATGATCATTTCACGATTGCAATGAGCCAGATACACTAGGCAGAAGTTGCACTAGTCACCTACGTGTTAGATCTATCTTACTTTGTCTATTTTGTATGGGTTTTTTGTCAAGACAAAATTGAAATGCATGTGTTAGAAAAATTTCCAAATCAAAAAATCAGGTGAGTTCACATAAAAATCTGGGTTCCCAGTCTTCTCTTTCTCTATAAATGGCACTACAATAAAACTAGTTACTCATGCCAGAAATCTAGTTGTCATACAAGATATGTCCCTCTTCTTAACCACTCCACAACTAACCCATCAAGTTCTCCAAAGCCTAGCTCAGACCCAGTGGTTCTGAACTCTCACTGTGAAAAGATACTGGTGCTCAGGCTGCACCCAGAAAATTAAATCAAAACCTCTGAGCGTGGACCTTAAAGCTCTTCCGATGGTTCTAATGGCAACCAGGGTTTAGAACCAGTGCAGTAATAACTTCATCAGTCTCTGTGTCACATGTCATCCCCCTTGTCCAAATCACATTCATCACTTCCTTGGCTCAGCAGTCTTCCACTGTAGTCCCTCTATCATCTTATTGCGATTCTTGTTCCCATGCAAACCAATCTCCACCCAACAGCCAGAGTAATTGTTTATAAATAGAAAAACATCTGGTCAATGTCTGCTTAAACCTCCTCAATAATAATAACAATAATGATAATAACTGATAATGATCATTTGTACGTTGTTTGAATAAAGAATCTGAGTTCAGGCTTTGTTGAAGGACCAAGACATTGAGGCAAGAAGTTTCAGGAGAAAATGGGAGAAAGAGCATAAAAGGTGTAACTGAAGATATCAAGGCAATTTTATCCTATTTCCACATCGGGCCTATTGCCTAACCTGTCAATACCTTCTGCTTGTCTGCTCCTCCAGGCCATGAACCATAGGCCAAAAGTACTACTGACCTCTCCTCCAAATTGTCACCCAGTCAGTGTCCTGATCTCACATTACTGTCAGGAGCAAAGGGATTTTATAATTTGGCAGTGACATTATTATGAGATTAATTTTATGGCACAGCTAGCAAAGTTTATTAAATGTCATTTATTCATAGTTGCATGGTTCATCCACAAAATAAGTTGATATTGGTAAGTATTCAAGCAGAATAACAGAATCAGAGATGTGTGTTTTTGGGGTGAGGGTATAGCTGGGATCTCTTCTCCTGCTGCTCAGACATATAGACCTTCCTTTCCACCAGTGAATAATGTAAATCCAGTTATTTATTTGAGCTGCAGTGGGGATATTTTTTTCTCATAATGACTGTATATTGACTATATAAACTGTTGTTTTAGCTGCTAAAATCTTTCCTTTACACCCTAACCACCCCATAACCAGATGTGGCACTTCCCATTGGAAGGAAAGAGGATAAGATGTCATCAAAAAGTTTTCATCAATAGAGATATCCTTGAGATATAGTGATATTATTTCAATCGGAGTTTAAAAGAAATAAATGCAAACTGCATTGAAGCTGAGTGGAAACTTGGGTTCACGTCAGCACCACTTGTGTACGGCGTAATCAGCTTTTATTTCATACTGGTGACAGTTTTTGTCTTCAGTATAAAACCACCTTCACCGTTTACGTTATAAAAATTTCAAGGAGCTATCTTAAGAACATCACAGCAATGTGCATATGACATTCAGGTAATGGAGACCAATAAAGATGTTATAAACTCAGATAAGCATTACATTAACGTCTGAGGCATAGCTGTCTTCTTTACCCTAAATTACTTTCATCAATGAAGCTAAAGTGTGTTGTGGGACCTAATTTGCCCAAATAATATGCCTGCACAGAGCTATCCTACATTAAGAAAAGCAGCTGATATTTTAAGCCTTCTCCTAAATATTTATTTTGGGGAAAAAAGGAGAACAAAATACACAGAGAGAAGTACAGACACACACACACTGAGCATCCCTGGAGACACAGTACAAGATATGCCTATTAATAAGATGCCTGCGTATTTCCTTTGGGGATCAAGATGGACTGGCCTTATGTACAATTCTTCTCTGTGGCGAATAGAGCTGTAATAAGGCCACAGATTCTTTTCATGCCATTTTAGGAATTTCTTTGAAGGATTCAGGCAGTGAGGCGCTTATGTTTTAGAGTTCTACATTAGTACAGGCAAAGCTTTTCAAATAATATAAAGCCTGCTTTCTAAACTCTTTATATCCCTGACTGTCTGGGATCTGGACAGAGGAAGATTAAAATCTCAATAAAATCCACCATATTGCCGCCACATGAGATTAATAGTATCTGAAGTGAATCGTGGGTTAAGTGTACTTCTCTTTGCATTTTCTACTACTTTTTTCATTTGCTATTAACTCCTTTTAATCAGAGAGGTTCCCTAAAACTGACATATCATTGGTTAAGATTCATTTTAAAAATCTAATGTAAAAGATAAATGTATCCCACATTTATTATAGGGCAGACACATATGGATTCTTGGTAATACTGAGTTGTTGTGAAGACATGTATTATTTATATTAATATGTCAAATGGCTCCAAAAATATACATGCTTGTTATAGATATTTACTATTTTTTCAAACTTTTTATTTCTGTCATTCTGCTGGCACCTTGTGTTGACTTTTCAGAGTGGATATTTTGGAACAAAAGATATATTCTTCCAGGATCCTCCTTGCTTGGACTATATTTGGCTTTAGTAAATATTTGTGGAATGAGTGAATGAATAATTCAACTGCATTTTAATTTTAGACACAACCTGATGAAATTATACCAAAGCTAGGAACTGACTAAGCCAATGAGCTAGATACATAAAATAATGAGCAATAAAAATGATAATTCATCAGATCAGAGACTATATCTGGTATGCTCTGCTGAAGCAGAGGGATGAGCATCATTTTTAAAGGATTTGGACAAAGTCAAAGAGCCAGCAAAGCTAATATTTTGGTTAGCAGCTCATCCTGATTTTATTAAAGCATGGCTGTTTACTTCTCTCTTCTCCTTCACCAACATTTTCATCCTTAAAATTTTTTTTTCTTCATTTTAAGGAGATGTTCTAGTCTAAAGATCCTGATTGAAGTGCCTTATCTTTAAAAACTTTGCTCGAGTCACGTAGAGAAACATTAACAGGTAAAATACTGCAGTGTTGCTGTAAGTATTAGTCTGATAAAGAAACAGCTGCACTTGAGAATAATTGAATAGCATCTAATGTTGTCCAATCCGGTAATATGTTTCCCAAGTAAACTCTCTAGGAAGTGCATGAATCGTTCCCATGCCTCCATCTGCTTATCTGTTAAATCTCTGACTTTTCTTGGCATAGCTCAAACCCAATTAAAGACAATTAAAGATGATATGCTTTACATTGCTTTACTTTTTCATTTTAGAAAAAGGGTATATGGTCCAAATGGATGTAATGGTCTTATCAGTAGTAATATAAGTCCCTTATACATAAAATTCTTTTTCTCAGCGGTTGTGAAATTTCACTTTGAAATTAAATTGCATTCATAGTAAGAGCATACTGTGCCTCAGGGAATAAGTAATTTCATATGTTTAGGATCCCTAAGTTATATTTCCATATTGGAGAAATTTTTAAAACAAACCATTTTTGTTTATCCAAATATTAATAATATGATCACTGATAACTTTGATTACAAGTATTCTGAAATCAGGAACTTCCCCATGTTTAACTTGGCCACGTCAATGTTTGGACATATTTTTCTTGGCATTATTAATTTTTTTATTTAAACATTTTCATCCTTTACTATTGACTTGTTTTTGTTTATGTACCTGTACTCTGCTTTTTTTATAAACAAAAAGTTTTAGGTGAGTTATAACAAGAATAAAGCACAATAATTATAAATTAAATAGAAATGTAGGACAGACAAATGT